TGTGTGTGTGTGTGTGTGTGTGTGTGTGTGTGTGTGTGCGTGTGTGTGTGTATTTTTACAAATGTAAACAACATTCTCGTTAGTTTATTTTTAGGGCCTGTCACACTTTACATATATTACACACAAATATACGTACGTACGTGTGTGTGAATTCAAGTTGCGGCGTATTTTCATGTTTCGTTTCGACAGCGACGAGCCCCCAAAAAAATGGGAGTGTACACCACAGCTGGCCACAGTTGGGCGTGTGTGTAAGTTGTAAATATTTATGTACGTACACACATATGTAGCTTGGTATGTGGACAGGAATGTAGTTGAATGATGGCATGATGAGAGCATGTATTATAGATTGATCAACATAAAATATCGCATTTAAAAAGGCAAACGATCATGGGTCGATGTACGCCCTAATCTAAACAGCCGAGCCATTCAATTTTGTGCTCAATTCGTCTAATAAATATTGTATAAAAGCAAGAATATACATATATATAGATAATCACATACATGAATATGTAAATGTATATGTATATACATGTACATATACATATGTATAAGAGACATACCTAGTGGCAAATCGCATAGCAGGCAGCATGCTGCCAGGGAGCCAGCGGAGGCACCTCCGATTTTTTCTAGAAGTAAATGCGGGGCATATTTCTTGAAGGAGACAGCAACGCCGACATGATATATTCCAAGAAATCCGCAGCCAGCAAAGGATAAATTCATTTTGTATCTTCGATGATCAGCACTTTAAATATGTTTTGATAGGAATGTCTTAACTTTCGCACTTTTGAACTTAACGTTTGACTGAGTTCAATATGTTCAAATACAGGTGTCTGTTGTAGATTTATTTCTTTTGTTGTTTTTTATATATATTATTTCGTTTAAGCTTTAAGCTTATTTATGATTTGTTTATTCACTTTCCGCTCACAATCAGATTGAACCGTTACGTACAGCTGCTTAAGCAACAATGAATAAATGAAATGGGTTGCCGCTATCGAAGAATTTATTAGTATCGATAAATACACAAATTTAGTCTCGACGTTTTTTAGGACATTGCTGCCGACCTATCGATAGCTTTCTTTCTCTAGGCGCGTACTTGAAACGTATTGACCATATAGAACAGAAATAAAGACATATTAAAATAAATTAAAGTCAAGGTCAATGTGACGTTTATGTGAAATTTTTAAATTAAAAAAAAAAAGTATATTAATATAATTTATGGTACGGTTGTAAAGAAAAATATCGCTATTGGTATTTTTGAGCCCAATATATCGTGCCATGGGCAAGTACGCAGTGGCAAGCTAGATAATATTTTGAAATTAATTCGGTATGTTACTCGACTTATGAATTTTAACAGAACAATATAAAGAAATAAGGATATGTTTGAAGACTTTGTATCAGCTAAGCTAAAAAAAATGTATTGCCTCATGGAAGCTACTCGATATTGCTAGTAAACGATACTACTACTACTAAGCATATCGATTATTACGGCGAAATTGGGGCGCGGCGAAGACAGGCTGCGGTGCGGCGAAGTTTGTTAGTTTTGTGCTGTGCTCGCTAATATATATGCATTTATGTATTGTATATTCACGAAAAAATGGAATTGTCAAATAAATTGAAGGCGAGTGGATGGTAAGTAACTCACCCAAGAGGGCAATTACACTTGATATCAACAAAATTACCAGGCACTTTACCGAGGATGGATTAAAGACATTAACAAGCGCCGTCGGCGACAACCCCGACCCATGCAAAATAATTGATGAAGCTTTAAACGTGAGTATAAGCTTTGCCAAATGTGACCGACCGGCTTGCAGCTAAACAAAGAGGATTAATCGCCGTTTTGGCCCAATTGCAGCGCGATCTGCGCGACATCGGAGGCGGCGCATTGCCAACCAAACGCGAGGACAGCTCCGGGGAGCTCGCAGGTCGCATTGTGCTGCAGGTACAGAGAGTGCGAAACATTTCTGCCCCGAAGAGCAATGAGGAGTCGAAGGCTGCGCCGCGGCTCTTGCAGCTGGAGCTGAGCGATGGCCAGGCAACGTTACAGGCCCTGGAACTGGAGCCTGTGCCAGCGCTGAATCTGAACGTGGCGCCCGGCACAAAGATTTACTTTCACGCCGAGAAATTGCAGCTTATACAAGGCTATCTGCTGCTGCGTCCCAACGATTTCAAGATATTGGGCGGGCGAGTGGAGGCGCTTTACGAAAAGTGGGACTTCGCCCGCACAATGCTGAAATACGCACGCAGCGGACGGCCACTCAGCGGATCGACTGCTCCGCCGCCGTGGGTCGCATTCGGCAAGAGCATCGATGCAAATGCTGATCGCAACTTCAAGAGTCTCGCACCGAATGCGGATAAGGACAAGCCGGCAAAGGAGAACGACGAGTTCAACAGCATGCGCAGCGAAGCTATTGCCGAGGCCAGCAAGGCGGGCGTAAAGAAAGTTTTCGGCGGTGGAGGCCAGAATATTATCGATCACAATATTAAGAAAATTCTCGAAAAGGGCTTTAGCAAGGAGGAAGCAAAGACTGCATTGCAAGCGACACGTAATAACTTGGAACGCGCCCTCTTCAATCTGAAGAGGCGCAAGGATGCGGCTGAGGGATACAGCGAGCCCCCAATAAGGGGCGGACGTGGCGAGAGGAACGGTAGGGAAGGAAAGCGTGGCGCCAGTCTCAAAGAGGAAGCCGAGGCCGCAAAACCAGCAGCAAATGCCACACTCTTCGACTTTCTTACCACTAAACTACGCACGACGGACACGACACCGACTACCGAGGCAGCCGGTGAATCCGCAAAACCAATTTCAAATGCCGAGAAGACGACTGTCAGGCCATATGAAAACGATTATAAAGCCTCGGCTGTAACATTAGCTGAGACCAAGACTCAAACCTTGGGCGAACGCACGCGATTTGAGAACAATGTCTCAAGCAGCTTTGCTGCGAATCGTGGCGGGCATTCTGGCCGACCTTCACGGGGCGGGGCACGTAGTCGGGCTGGACGCGACGACCGCTCGTCACGTGGCGTAGGCAGCAGCTACAACGATCGGGGTGGAGCTGGGGGTGGCGGCAGCATGCGTAAGCATGAGAGCAACTCGCGTCCATCTGAGCCGACACATGTTAAGAGCGCCAATCGCAATGGTCATGACCACAATGCGGCATCAAGCAAAGCTGGCTCCTCGGAGGGCAAGCAGGAGAGTTCTGCAAAAGATCAGGGGAACAACAGGCGCACGAACGAACGCCAGAATCATCGCAATGGAAATACTCGAGCTGAAAATGGGACTGCCAGCAGCAATCACAACAATCGACGTCGTCAACAAGGAAACGGTGGATCAAGTGGAGCTGGAGCTGGCGCTGTTGCCCCCGCGGCTAAGGGCGCCAACTCTTATAACAACAACAATGATGAATTCAACAATCGCTTGAACAAAGTCGTCGCAGAGACCGCAAACTTGAAGCTCAGCTCCTCCAAGCGTGAGCATAGACGCGGTGGGCGGCAAAGCGGCGGACAGTCCACCCGCCAGCAATATGAAAGCCCGGCGACTTTTAATCAGGCTCCAAAGTCGCTTGAGAAGAGTCTTCCAGCTCAGCGACAGCAGAAATCGCAGCAAGAGAATGCTCGACAGCCATCGAATGCCAGTTGCACTCAATTGCCGAACGGATATACTTATGATCCCAGCAAAATCATGGGATTCCAAACCAAGGAGACAAATGAGTTTGCCATGAGCCTGCTGAAGAGCCAGGGACTAACCATTGTGACGCCCAACCACTCTCCGGCACAGGCCCAGCCAGCAAATAACTTGCCTCCTGCACAAGCGGGCCCAACTTCCTGTATGTCGTCTAACCCGCACCCAGTTGCAGTACCATCGCCCCCAACAAATCTAGACCTGGCTCCGTGCGATGCTTGGGTGTGGAAGAGCAATGATTTGTGTATGGCCAAGTATTGGGATGATGGACGGGTAAGTACACAGTGCACAGTCGCATACTCTACGACTTTTATTAATGATCGACCCAATGCCCGTAGTACTATGAAGCCGAGATAACTGCAGTCGGGGATAAAACGTGCGTGGTGTACTTTCTCGGCTATGGAAACCATGAAGAAGTATTAAAATCCGATATTCTGCCGATTACGGACGCCCAAAACAGGCCATTGACCAACATGTCCCAGCCACAGCAGCCCCAGACGACGCGTCATCGTGGCGATCGCCAGGCTCAGCAGCAGCAGGTGTATGTGCCGCCACACAAACGGGAGTATTGAGCAAATCGAACCTATGCAAAACTAAATTAAATGTGTCGAACAAACAATTATAAACATTTTTTACATTTACATGCATGTGAACAATGTACATAAACATGTACATATACGTACATCTATTCAAGGTTAAACAGTTTATGAAATTTAATGTTTAATAATATTCATTTGCATTATATGCACGGTATTCAAGCTCATCAAAGTCATGCAAAACCCAATGCAGTCGTTATTTTCTTCGTTTCCGTAAACATTCTTACATTCACGTTATCCCAATGCGTAGGCTTTCACAGCAATTGGATAGTACGAGATTGATCTTATTGTATATAACCTAAAGTTGATAGCAAAGGCTGCTCATGATATAAGCGGGAATGATTTTGTTATTATTTTTGTTACAATTTCAAAGTTGGATTACTAATTTCCAAAAAAAAGTGCAAGTGCATTTGCATTGTTTGAAAAGTACCCAAAGTGACCTTATTGGTCGAAGCAAAAAATCCCAAAAACGGGCAATGTTGCAAAACATCAAAAATATATGAGCATGTGCGGGAGATTTAGCACATGTGTTGATTTCTTGCAAAACAAAGTAATGGATATGAATATTAATAAGCTTTATCGCAGTGCCTTTAGAAGTTATCTCAACAGGTTTACGCCTAAGAGGCAAGGGACGTTACTCCACACTGTTCTTACAAGTATGGTCTCCCTAAATCGTGTGTATTTTAGTTATTACCGAAAATTAAAACTCGGTCACACTTGCTAGCACGTGTTTAGTAGCTGAAGGAACGGCTTGTTTTCGTGTTTTAAAATAAATAAAATAAAATGGTTAAAGTGAAACTGGAGCACACAGAAGCGGCGGATGTTTCAATTAAAGTCAGCGATAATGTCACCATCAAAGAAGAAGAGACCTATGACGACAAATTGTTGTTTGTTAACGCCATAGCCAAACCAATGGCGGGCAAGAAACTGGCCAAAAAATGCTACAAATTGGTGAAGAAGGCCATGAAACACAAAACCTATTTGCGAAATGGTCTGAAGGATGTGCAGACGCGTCTGCGCAAGGGCGAAACCGGGTAAGACTTACTATCCAAATGCACATTACTCTCAATATCTCCAATAATCTAATGGTGCCCCACTCACAGCATCTGCATCTTTGCCGGCGATGTGACACCTGTAGACATTATGTGCCACCTGCCCGCTGTTTGCGAGGAGAAGGGCATTCCCTACGCCTACACGCCCAGTCGCGCTGACCTGGGCGCCGCGATGGGCGTTAAGCGGGGCACCGTGGCTCTGCTGGTGCGACAGAACGAGGACTACAAGGATCTGTACGATGAGGTGAAAGAGGAATTGGCCAACTTAAATGTTCCCGTTTAAGCTTTTAAAGATAATGATGTAATTTCGATAAGAGTTCTGCTTGATAAGTCACAAAGTTTGACAATAGTATAAGCCCATCCATTTGCATTTGCACGTAAAGACGTTTGAACACATGCAGATTTAAATGCCATTATTATATATTTTACAAAAATAGATCATATTTGACATAAAGATCATATTTGTAAACTATATAAACAAGGGTATTTTAGACTGTGTCTTCTTTCCTGTCAAACGTGTCAATACCTCACTTTACTGCAATTTAAGAAATATAGAATAAAGTTCAAGTTAAACAATTTGAATGAAACAATGTTTAAATTAAATTTGAAAATTATTGTATATATGTTGAAACCCGATTTTGTTACCCTGAAAACTGGCGTTGGCAATTGCTTTTGAGCTGGCCAGAAAACTTACCAAATCTAGCAAAACCTTTTGTTCAATATTGCAAAACGTACATCTCGAAATGATAAGTTAATGAACAAATTCATGTCGAGCGAATTTTCTTGTCTTGGTATCAATTTTTGTCATATGTTTTTCAAATTGCGAGATGTATGTAATATATATTCATTATTCATTATCATGTGTGTACATTGGGTAAATCAAATCAAATGGAAGAACTTCCATATATATGCTACATCCGAGATAGGCTTTCTGCTGTCAGATTATTGTTTTTATTATGAATTGAAGAGTCCTTCCGGGCTGCAAAGATCTCATTTCATAGGTGCGTCTTTCTGTTGCAGGCAGCGCATATGGCGGGACCGGCCGAATCGGTCCAACATATTATATAGGAACGATCGGTGGAAAAGAAGGTTCCTGTATGGACAAATATTTTGTTTATCCAGGTATGTTGACCAAATTCGACTTTTAGCTTAACTAGTTTAACTGTGCTACTTATATGTGTGTCAAATTCTATCAATTATTACTCAATGGAAAGAATCTTTCCTCACATATCTCTAAAGCCGCTAGGCAAATGTCTGCAAAGGTATTAAATCTTTAGCCTGCTGAAGATATCGGCACTTTCTCATCAGTTTAGGACTTTCTTAGCATCGGCTAAAACATCATTATTTTATCACATTAGCTTTCGACTCAGCCAACCATCTGCTGCTTACCAGGTTGAAGGATCTGCTTCCACCCAAATATTGCAGTTCTTTCCCGTTCAAGATATATATGTGTAGGTATTTGCGTAGCACTGGCAAAAAAAAAAAGATGTTTTTGGTGTCCCTTAGGGATTTTTAAAAGTTTTTTTTTTATCTGTATGTATTTTTATAAATTGTTTTACACAGTTCTGAATTGTGTGTAGTTTGGATGCGTTTCGTGTTTCAAATCAGTATTCAAAGTTATTTGTGCTTAATAAAATGTGTTTTGACAAACTGACATACATAGAATTATATAATTTGAATTTTTTTTTGTTACCGTTATTTAATATTAAATATATATATATATATATATATATATATTTCCTAGTTTATTTATTTTTTTTATTTTATAATTATTTTTTTATTATATAAATGATTAGATTTTATATATAATTACATTCATGCGCCTATGCATATGCATACAAGTCGCTGGCCAAATACATACATACTATCAAAAAATCGAACCCGAGAGAGTTACTGAGAACTATTATATTTAAATCAAACCACATGCTGAGGTTAATTTTGTCAAAGTAGTTGCTCGAAATGAATTGAGATTTCCAGACGGGGGCGCAGAGTTATGCATACTTATCCAGTTTCTATGTCCAAAAAGCATCAAGTCAAGCCGACAGAAAACGTATTCATACATATGTGTGACATTTATGCATGCGTATGTACATAAATACATACAATAGGTGACCCATATAGCCAATATATATATATATATTATATATATATTTAAAGTACAATTATGAAGCATTATATTTGTACGTTATAAGTACGTAAATAAATTAAAGATTTGAATAAAGGTAATTAATAATGTATTTGAGTACATGATAAATTTTCAGTTTCTAGTTTTTCGAATGGTCAACTGCTGTACAAAACTCAAGGTACAATTAATGTATGTATTTATAACTCAAGCGCACTAAGGCCAAACCGAACATTCTCGTAGCATATGATCTACGACTAATAGAATGATTATAAAATACAAACTTTCTTGAATTGCCTTAAGAACTAGCTAATTTTCTTTCTTTTTTTTTCTTGATTTTTTTTTGTTTGTTTTTTTTTTTTTTTTATTTTTAAAGATATTTTTTTTTTAGTTTCAAGGGCTGGGTGCTCAGAGCTACCCTGCTACATGCGAAATGACAGCGCCAAGGGCGTGCGTGGGGCGGAACGGCCTGCTGCGGCATTTGTAACTACTAAACATATGCATATAATATATAATAATTGTAATAATAATTAAATCTACATATTTAAATTAATTGCGATTAAAAAAGCAAACGGGAGAGCTAAAATTAACAAGCAATTCATTATCTGTTTTTGAGTTTTTCTAATTTTACATTTTTTTTTGTTTTTTTTTTTTCTTTTCGTTTTTTTTTTTTTCGTTTTCTGTTAAGACTCTAAAGTCTTTATTTAAGACGTTGTTGCCACATGCAGCAGGCGGTGGCGTTTGCCGGCGCACTCAACGACGCCAGGTGCTCACTGAAAGTAATTGTAAAAGCCTGAAGTTGCTTGGCCCAGTTCTCGTATGGCCGCAAAGGGATCCTTCTCCAGGTCATTGGGCGGCTGGGAGGATTTCGATGCATGCAAAGGCCGTGCTGAGTTCATTGCGGGCTGCTGCTGCTGCTGATGTCCTGCGGCTGCCTGCGGTCCTTGGCTGAGCACAGCCGCATATGTAGTAGCTGAGGACTGCTGATGATTGGCGGTGTCGGCAGAGGCCTGGGCAGTCTGCGGTGGCACCGCTGCAAACAAGTCTAAATCATGTCCACTCTTAAGTGTGTTGTAGTTGTTGTAGAGCAGGCCGTGTCCATGATCGGACTTGTTCGAGTGCTCGGCGACCACGTTATTAGCTTGGAACAAGGCCTCAATAAGATTGGTGCCAGTGTCCAAACCGGCAAAAAGCCCCGGCATATTGTTGTAGCTGTTGCCCCCGTTGCCGGTCATTGGCTGGCGACGATAGAGCGGCACTGAGCTGCCACTATTGTGAAGGCCATTGCTGTTGTGGCCAGCATTGTTGTGGCTATTGAAGTTGTTGTACGACTTTTCGTTAAGCAAGGGGTTTCCGGCTAGCGAGATAGACACATTGTGTTAATAAGTGAAGATATATTTGTTTACAAGCTAAACGAATTCAGGTCGAACTTACTATTGTTCATGAAGTTGTTGCTGCTTGTCGCCGGATGGACAGCTGTTCCCGGTACCGGACCTGTCATGTGGTTAGGATACATATTTAGCGGCTGCAAAGGTCCAGGGTTGGGGCCATGTTTTGGCATAGCCAAGGGTGTTTGTTGTGGCTGCTGGTTCTGCATCATTGTAAAGTGACGACTCTGTTGTTGTTGTTGCTGCTGCTGCTGTTGTTGCTGCTGATGTTGTTGTTGTTGTTGCTGTTGTTGCTGCTGCTGTTGCTGTTGTTGTTGCTGCTGCTGCTGCTGCTGTTGTTGCTGCTGCTGATGTTGCTGTTGTAAATCACCGCCATTCATCATGCCATTGGACAGTGGCATTCCACCCGTGCCCACTGGCGCTGTTGCTACGCCCACCATGCCGAGCACGTCACGTAAGATGGGCTGTGCAATGTCATTGGCCCCATTCATAATCGAATTGAACACAAGATCAATTTGCTGATTAAAGTTGTCTAGCGGCGGCGTCGAATCCACCGACTGCTGGCTCTGCGTCTGCGCCTGTGTTGGGTACATTATCGGGTACTGTGGCCGCTGCGGCTGTGGCCCCATGACAGCATGTGGATTGGACAGCATCTGTGGTCCTTGCACTGCTGGTGGCTGTGGCTTGTGTCCCTGCGGATGGTGCTGTTGCTGGTGACCCTGCTGCTGTAGTGTGGCCATAACCTGGCGGAGCATGTCGCCAAACTTGTTGGCTGCCTCTTGACCCACAGACTCCAACAGCTTAATGTACCACTTGTATTGCTCTTCCTTAGAGTTGAATGCCATTTCGTATATGCTCATGTTGGGAGGCAGCAGCTCATGTGCAGACGGAAAGCGCAAGGCACTAGGCGACGGCTGCTTTCCGGCCGAATACATATAGGGGGCAGGAGGGGGCTGCTGAGGCGGACCCGCGGACTTATCATAGTTGCTGTAACCAGACCCAGCGCCATTGTGACGCAGATATGGTGGTGGCCCGTTCTCCATTGGGCTCATCGGGCCGTTGGGCACGCTGCTGCCACGTTGAAGAGGCATCGGTGGCTGGCCATATAAATGATGTTGTGGAGGCAGGGGCTGTTGCGGTGGTGGTGCCTGGCCGTGGTTGTAAAGCGTCTTCTTGGCTAGGTACCCCAATTCGCTTGGATTGCGCAGCAATTGTGCCGCAGTCGTCGCGTTGCCTGCAGCTGGTGGCACGCTGCCTCCTCGAAGAGTCTGCCAATAAAAATAATTGGAATAATGCTTAAAGATTTAAGACCAGATTCTCGCGTTTGCATATACAAATACGACTACACCTCAATTGAACATAAGCCAAAGGCCTTTCTATTTCGTAATTAAAACTTTTACTTACGGGTGGGGGCAAAGGTCCTGGACCGCGGCCGGGCGCATTTGACTGTTGAGGTGGCGGTTGCTTGTTCGGCGGTAAGACGCTCCAGGGATTTGTTTGCGGCGGCGGACCCCAAAGACTGGCATTGGGATTCTGCTGTTGCTGCTGTGCCTGTTGTGGGGCAACGGGTGGCCGCCAGTGCTGCATAGCTGTATATTGGCCATAAGGTGGGGGCGGAGGTCCTCCACCGCCTGGCTGAGACTGTCGCAGATGTGGCGGACCAGGCGGCGGCCCGTTAGGTGGCGGGCCGCGCATTCCCATATGGCCACGTATATGAGCAGCAGGTCCTGGACCTGGTCCTGACGACGGTCCGTTGGAAGACTTGCCGCCAGCGGCCACCGCAGCTGCCATCATTGCCGCCATATGAGTTGAATACATGTGTGACAGCTGCTGATTGGCCATTGCTGCAGCCATTTGATTCATCTGATGCGCCGCAGACGGTCCGGGACCCATGCCTGCTGAGGCAGCATAGTGAGGTGGCTGACTGCCAGGTGGCGCGTGCGCTGGAGCATTTAGGTACAGGGCTGCCTGCTCGTGTAAATATGCCTCCGGCTGTAGGGCACGAGGAACAAACTCGGGAGCTAGCGGATTTAGAACATAGCCACGTTTCATCTCGACGCCATCCAACTGGG